TAAAGCCTTGGCAATATTAACATACGATTGTTGTTCTTGTTTGTGGCCACTTGTGGTATCAAAGTGTCCCGAAATGTATGGCAACAAATTTCCCAATTCAGATTGACCAAATAGCAGCTTCTGAGCTTTTATACTGCCACTCGAGTAAATGGCTAAACGAAGACCAGCCTCTTTCCAGCGTTTGAATGCTTCTGGTACATCAGGGTAAACACTGATAAGAAAATAAAACAAAAACAACTCTTAGCATTTCTTGAGTTATCAATGAATGCCATGTAAATCTACTTACTGGCCTTTAAGGTCACCGTTTTCATAGCCCTTTTCCCACACCAATCCCTGAAGTTTCTTTAGCGGTCCCAATTTCAAATCTTTGTCAATCAAATATTTAACAAATCCATTAACCGTGTAGACGTCATAGGACTCATCACCCAAATTGGTGGCTTCTTTTTTATACACTTCAAATTCCGGCAATTCGAATAGTTCTCGAACTATTTCACTGGTTTCTTTGTTAATCCATGTCTGTTCCAAGTAATCTTTCGTATATTCTTTGGCATATGGAAATAATTTATCCTGCAATAAATGAAACAGAATTAAAAAATAAATCCTTGGGTTGAAGCGAACGATGATACCTTAACGAAACTAATTGACGTCGTTGTCCCCTCAATATCTGAGAGAATAGTTTTGGCCGTAAATTCAGTCATATTTTTTGAGGGTGTAATGTCTGTCTAGTAAAGTAATTAAGTAATTTGGAACTGATAAGAAAAAGTAATCATAAGTAAGTAAGTAATCATAAATATTGAAAAACGTTCCACCTTTACGAATGGGATGGGATAAGACAAAATGCCCGGTAAAGAAGAAGTCAAAAAGGAAGACGGAAAGTTACGAATGAGGTGGGATGGAGACTAAAAAGGAGTTGGATTGTTTACGAATGAGGTTTAAGGAAAGGATGAGAGTAGCAAGGGTAGCTCACATTCAGAGTTTGCTAATTACAACCCTGTAAACCTGAGCTGAAAGCAAACGAGACGAGGAGGACCAACCAACAGCTGATCACAATTTGCACAGTTCATCAGCTGTTTGTAGTTCCGGAATGAACTAGTTCGTTGAATGACACTTCGTTTTGTTATTCACTATAACATGATAACACATTGTTCTATGGACTGTATGAATTAGGTCAGTGTATATAGTTCGTTTTGGTTCAATTTAATTTAAATAAAAGGGGTGTACAAGCTGATTTAAGTTGTTTATTATACAATGTCAAATCCGACTTATTTTTATGTGTCCTCCCTCAATGAAAAATTTTGTTCTTCAATGGAATGAGGAAAAGAAAAGCGAACATCTTTGATTGGTCAACGAAATAGGATCAATGGCCATCTATGGAACATGGTACTGTATTATTGTACCTTGTAACTTGAGGTGAATAACTAAAAATTAACTCTGTATGTAGTAGCTTCTTCTGTCAAATATAAAATAAATATACGCAACGAGTTTTGTCATTATTTGACAAGCGAAAAATTAATAAATGGTTATAATTTCTCCCCAAAATCGAGTAGGGTAATTTCTTTCTGATAAACGCTGTAGAAATTTGTTTCATTTCAATTAAATTTGAAAACATTTTAATCTCATTTATTTATTTTGGGGAGAAATCATAATCATTCATTCAGATTTCGGGTTTTTAGTCGTGTGTTGAAAAAATGTCAAATGAACACAACAATTCGTGGCTTATATTTATTTTATATTTGACAGAAGAAGCCACTACACTACTACTACTTTCTAAAAAATTTACGCATTTTTATTCGTGTTGTTATTGTTATTGTAATAAGCTGTATCGATAAAACCAAGGTGTATTTAATAAGGTGTAAGTGGCAATCATCTGGTTTCAAACTTTTTTCTTTATTGTTTGTAAAGCAAATTGTCAAAAATATTTTCAACAACATTTCGTTTTCAAAAATGGTCTTTAAATTTAGGCTTTTTTAATAATAAAAATTCAAGAAAACTACATTCATAGAGGCGGACGGAAAGGAAACCTAATCTTAAATTAGTAATAACAACGTTCGCCGATTGGTACACATATTTTATTTTATGTGTGGAAATCTGTCGGATTATGTTAGCCTATATTGGAATCGGGCCCCTGGTACTTGTCACAATCCTCGGCGGGGGTTCAATACGCATAAGGAATGATTTTATACGGTCAACACAGTTTCCATGATTTAGTCTTTGGCCGGGGATTTATGTCCCTTCAATTTTCTTTAAGAAGGCAAGATTTGAAGCCACTCTATTAAAAGAAATAGATTGTAATTCACAATATAACAACATCACAAGGAGCCATGGGCTGCATGTAGGAAACTTAAAATAAATCGCGACCAGGTCGTAAACATTATTTTTCACTGACCTAAAAACGCCAATAACCCAAGAATACACAAATTCATTAATTATTCCTCAAAATATTATCCTTGACAAAAATTAATTAATAATTGTTTTTGTTTATTTTTGTCAAAAAATTATTGTCAGCATGACAATTTAATTTCTATAACAACAATGTTGTTTTTGTAAAATATTTGTTGTTGTATCTGATGTATACACCTTGGATAAAACTTTTTACTGGATGTTATTCGCTTACTTTTGCAATTTTCTTTCTTTTGCTTTTTTACTCTCAGTAAATTCTTACTGAGTAAATGTTGCTGGAAAAGTAAGCGAACATACCTATATTGACCCATACCAAAGTCCAGTAAGCTGGCCTTACTGGATGAACTAATACATCCAGTAAAGCCAGCTGATATCTAAATTTGCTGTCACAAAATATTGAATTAAAAAAAAAAAATAATGGTAGTTAGCATTGACAAATGCATCGATAAAATTTTCAATTTTATAATATAACATAAAAATAAAAAATAATATTTTCGCCACAACATCAACTTTTGGTTGATCTGATATTTGGGCCATGGTTTCAAAAATCATATGTTTCATTTCTGTTTTCTATTGACAGAGCAAATAATTTTTTCTGTATGCACATCGTATAACAGTTCATACATCACTGAGAATAGTTCACGGATAAGCAGTACTAATTTTTTGTCATACAATAGTATTACAGTTTATAAGTTGCTGAAAATCGTTCAAGGATAAGCAGCGATACAAACCATATCATTACATCGTATAACAGCTATGATCCAAACCTTATAAGAGTTCATAAATGATTGAGAATAGTTTTTTGGAGTAGGCAATAGCAAAGCTATCGACCTTTAAACTAATGAATATGTCACAAACAGTAAGCATGAATAAATGTCGGAACTGTACAAAAAAATAAATAAATTGCTTTTCAAATAAAACAAAAACATGACAGAAATGGTGAGAATATAACAATTAAACAAAATTGTCATACCTAAGTAATGAAATTAATATTTACATTTATTGAATTATTGGAAAAAATGGAAATATCATCAAAAAGTTAGATTAATTTACAGGTATTGGTTTTAATATAAATACATATATAGAATTCATCAAACATTATATTCAATAAACTATTTTTAAATAATTTTAAGTTATTTTTTCAAACTGTACGATATCATGTTCACTAATTAAGCCTCCTGCGTTTCACAGCAGTTTACTTTTGCATGGATAGCGGCTAATGGGTTAACCATTCCTTTTGAATACCTTCAAGTAGATTAAGAAGAAGCTGCAAGGAAGTGTTTTTCTATTTCGGGATTAAATTAAAAGGAACAATAAATTTAACAAAAAGTCCTTGCAAATCGGTATAAAATACACCGTGCGCCACTAAAAGCAACCCTACCAATGTACAAAAGAATAAAAGTCTTTGCAAAGCTAAAAGTGCAGAATATTTAATTGGCAAATAGTGTCAAAAGTCTAGTGATTTCTATGCATCATATAAAAAATACGTGTGTTTGTGTTATTTACGTCTCCGAATGACGTATGGTAGTAATACGTAATATCAATTCAAAGTGATGAATCGTTCTTCTTCTTATTCGCATAATAATTTGTTATTTTTATTTACAATTCCCTAAAATCTTATTGGATTGCCTTCAAATAAAGGCTGGATAAGTGGGAATGCAATCAATGCATGCCAATAACTACCTAAATGCTATAGCAGCAACAACAATGCAAATCAATGTACAACTTTCCAATGTGCAAAAAACGAAATGTCAGCCATGAAAACATGAAATGAATGCAAATCGAGCAAATCGAGAAAGAAAAACAAAATGTTGACAAATGCTAGTGTATGTGTTTTTGTAAATTAATTAAATTCCTGCGTAAACGGAATGCGATAAATTAAAAAAAAATCAATTAAAGCCGGTGCATCGTCGTGCCATTGGTATACTAGGTCATAGCCAGCCGAATGCTATGAATCCTTAAGAATAAAAACAGCTGTTTTCTTGGAATGATAAGTGACAGTATCTACAATAATAACAACAACAGCAGCCGCGGCCACAATACATAGCTCAACTAACACAACGGCAAATTGTCAAGGTTATCGGGACAAACTAAAGAGTTAAGAAGAACAAGCAGAGGTGGAACAGCAGAGTAAAGTTAGTAGTAGTCCACTGTGTTCACGCATTATAAATGCAAACATTTGCAAAAAATTACAAAAAATATATATAATAAAAATTGAGTGTGTCTGTGCATGTAAAACAAAAAGAGAGAAATTGTTGTTGAATGAGAATAAATGTGGGCTAGTTTTTTATTTAATTAAAAATAATTAAACTTGTTCAAATCGTAAAAGCTAATGTGATATTTAATGGGCCTAATTAGAATATTATTCTTATTTGATTTTAAATAAAACGAACATTTCGTAAAAATTGCGGGTGGTGCAGTGTTGTTACACATCTGCTTTACATTTACAGTTGACTAACTATACACACGGCAAAAAATAATGAGAAAGGGCAGTACAAGGACAAACACTGAGTGAAAGTCAAACTGAAAGTTAAAAGTGAGCAACAACAAACTGAACGACTGAACTGCAGACCCCCTTGCCGATTGGCGGCCAATTTGAAATGGATACGCAACAAGTAATGTTGCTGCCACAGCCGCAACAGCAATCGCCTTTAACCGCCACTTCCACGCTGCAACAAGTGGCAATGCCTACGTCCCTGAACCAACAGCCTACACCGCATCAGCCTAAATGTGCAATTTGTGGCACAACCCAGAAACTATTGCGATGTGCAAAATGTAAATGCATCTATTATTGTTCGACAGATCATCAGCACCGGGATTGGCCAACCCACAAACTGGAGTGTCGACAGCTGGCCAAGCAACGACAGAACAATCAACGAATGCAACAGTTGACCAATGGCTGTAGTGCCATTAATATTAACTCGAATTTTACATCCTCCACAAATCCCCAGATGACATCTGCCTGCAACAATGCCTCGTGGAATTCATGGTCCAATAATTATCCCAATCCCGCCAATAACCTGCAATATTCTCAAAACCCGGACGGGTCATTAATTCTGGGTACAAATGAAAATGAAATAATGCACACGAAGGCGGAGACGGTAACACAGAATTCCAATTCAGGTGAATATATGGGTAATTTTGTAAATTCAACAACATCCAATCAGCTGCACGCTATGCAGCAGGGTGCAGGAGATCCCATCATGTATAATAATGCCGCATCGGCTATTGTGGATAATAATCATCAATTGGCCGGTATGACATCGTATTATGTGAATGCGGAATCGCAACAACAGCAACAACAACTTCAGCAATCACAAAGTCAATTACAACAGCAGCGACAACAACAGCAGGCGTATTCCGTTCCAATTGAATGTCAACAAAATGTAATGCAACAACAACGACAACAGCAGCATCAGCAACAACAAATGTATGTGCCTACTCCTCCTTCTCATCTACAACCACACCCGCAGCAGCAACAACAACATCAAATGCAGCAACCAGTGCCACAGTTTAGCAATCATTTTGTCAATCAACATGAAAAAAGTTCGAGTTATCAAATCGGTGCTGCAAGTGTTGGCGATAACCTTGTCGAGAATGTCAAGTAAGTACCAAAAGTGAAATGAATTAATTTGTTGAGAATCTCACAATTCTTGGGTCCTGGCACATTAAAGGCTCAAAAAATGCATAAAAATGGTAACAAAGCCAAACATACTGTTATGGCTCTTGGTCGTCGGTATGCAAAAAAATAACTTTCAATTTATTTGCCTAGGCAATTTTACTAAGGAAGAAAAACTTTAGTCAGGATTCTTATATACACATTCGCGGATTTGTGTGCAGAAAACAGAATTATTCAGAACTATCAATCTACGCTTGGTAAACTCGCTTGCTTCAATGTGTGATAATTGTAAGTTATATGTATTTTAACCCAGGTATGCCGAGGATGCAAAAGACAGTACACCTGTTATTTTTAAGTTCTATATTTCATAAGCTATCGACTTCCAAAATTCCACTGGGACACCTACATAGACTTTCTCATATGAACAGATGTCAATATCTGCGACGCGACTATGGGGCCAATATTGGCTTACGACGGTATACATTTTTCTTCTCCCAATGGAACCCTTGCATTTTCTCGCGATTTTTTTAATTCACTATGGCCGTGTGGGCATCGATTTAAAGCGATTGAAGTCCTGATAACTTTATACTTTCTGAGATATGGGCCTATCAAAAATGTGTACCAATTAAAAGCGGCTGAAATGTTGCGAAAATGTTTATGAAAGTCTTTAAATCAGTAAGGGAAGTAATGTCGGACGGGACCAATTCATAAATGCAAATTAAAATTTTCTAATTCTATGCTCAATTTTGTACTTTGTGCAATCTGACAAACATGATAAGTTTGGTTCACCATTTACTTAATATCCAAATCTGAACCGATTTCAACGAGACTTTTCATAGGTTTGGTTATACTAATTTCAGTACGGTCTATCGGCCATAATTTGGGTCCTTGGTCCTTTATTTATAATAGGATGAAAATGTGCAAAGGAAACTTGCCACACGTTAGGCTAAACTATCTTCATTTCGTTGTGCAAAATTGTATTCCTATCGTCCCTATTTTTGGTCCTTGGTGCATCATTTACTTAAAATTGTACCAAAATGTATATGAGGACTATATCCAAGTTTGAACCGCTTTCAACAAAACTTGTGACACGTTATACTACACTAACCTCAGTACGTTTTTGCAAAAATTTTGTTCTAATCGTCCTAACTTTGGGTCTTTGGTCAACAATTTACTTAAAATCGAACGAAACTATGCATGGGAGTTTTATCTAAATCTGAACCGATTTCAATAAAACTTGACACACGTTATGTTGTAGTAACTTTAGTACGTTGTGTAAAATTTTGTGGTAATCCACCTAACTTTGGGTCTTTGGTGCACCATCTGTCCATAGGATAATGTCTTAAAACCACGGCCGAAGACCGGCCACTCTGGCCGCGTAACCGGATTTGCCATATATCCGTGCGGGGATACTTTGATCTAAAAAGTTGCCAAATAAAGTGATAGATCTATCTGTGCTATATCTATGGCAAAAATATGGCCCGTTATAATAATGATGCGTAATGAAAAAATTTAATCTTGCCAAAATGTTGTGCTGTGTTTTCACATGATTTGTTCCGCATATTATAATGACTCACATGACACTCAACACTTTCCCAAAGTATTAGCTGTTACAACAACAACGAGAATTGGAACATCGCAGGTTAATTCCAGTATATCTGGGGTTATTACTTTGGTGGGTGGTGAGTTAACCTAACGCCGTTAATTGAAGTCATGAGTCATTATAGTTATTTTTAACCCTTTCAGTGTCAAAAAATTTTTGTCGGAATAAAAATTTAAAATTTTGTATTTAACCCTTTGACGTATTTCTACGAGTCTGACTCGTGGTAGAATTTCTGTGTCTAACATGATTATGATTCGATTCTCATAATAATAAGAATAAAACTAGTTGATGTCGTGCACAACATTTAATCTAAAATAAATAGTTTTATTACATGCATTCACATTTCGTTTCGTTTTGCGGCTGTTTTTAAGCATCAAAACCGGTTTACTTAGTGCAAGTTGTGTGCTAACAGTTGGAAGCGAACTTCGTTGCGCTAATTGATACGTCAAAGGGTTAAAATCATATAAAGGGACATAGTTTAGAAAAAATAGCAGTTGTCATTTCAACCCTCGGCCAGTTTCGTTTGTTTTTCAGCAAAAACAAAAACATCAATAGTAACGGTACATAGGATAACCGAAAAATCGCAAAGAAAGAGAGTACTTTTAAATCCCGAATATATTCGACAAAAACACTGAAAGGGTTAATAGTCGTAAGATCCATCACAAATTCCGAAACATTTCATAATTATCAGATCGTGTCAATAATTCTCTACATCCACTTTACACTGTAGAGCACTGACCTGTTAGACATAAATTAAAGAAATTTGTTGGATAGTAAAAATATTTTTCAATTAATTTAATTAGTAAAACTTACCGACTATTTTTTCAACAACAAGTATTTCTTTACTAGAAATGTCATGTTTCCATGAGAATTCATTACAGTCTGGACATTAATAGAATAAGATGCCAATTTTTAGTTCACCTTTCTAAATTCTATAGTTATTTATTTGTTTTATTTTCAATTTTTACGTCTGGTCGTGTTTGGTTTATGTTATCACTTTGAATTTTTGTTTATTACTGAATTCGATTGCAAACGGCGATTCAAACACAGAAATTATTAGTCGGCACTTTAGTGCAAATATTTATCAAGAATGTTTGCCGTAGACAGCAGGTGACAAGAGTATTTAGTGCTGGGATTTTTAAATTATTTGATGTATTACTAAATAGGGTGATGGAAAAAGGCATGATGTGTAACAAAAATTTATATAAAAAGTTTTACTTTTCATTTTTATCTCATCTTTAGTAAATTTGAAATTTGTGTTTAAACATTTATTTAATTAAAACCCAAGGTATTTTGAAATTAATAACAATGATTATACACTTGTTGTTGATTAAAGCTCATCATGGGACTAATTTTGTTTACCATCACACACCACCTGTACACATTTTTTACCTCACTTAACGGATTGATAGTGACAAATATTAGTTTATAATTTGCCTTATTCACCAGATAACAGATACGTGAGCACTTGAAGCTACCTACCGTCACATCAGATTTTATTTGACTCACATTTTATGGGTTTGACTTTGCCACCTCTGTGACTGACAACAAGTGTATTTTGAAATATTTGAAACATATTTTCATTTTACATTCAGTTCAGTTCGAACCAAAACGCAAGAAGAAGAAAAAGAAGTAGATTTTCAAGAGGAATAAAAATAAAACATATGTTAATTTATGAGTCGAGTACACGAAGGGAAGCAGAACAACAAAAAATAAACAATCGACTATTTACCCTACGATTAGATTACAAATTATTTGTCGTCTTTGCGTTTGGTCTCTGTTTTTTCGGTTCTGTATTTGGAATTTATGAAAGCCAATGATGATGATCATCGCCGTAGTCGTCGTCACATGCAATTGAGTTGAGGTAAAGAACGCATTAACGCTAACTGCTACGTGCGGGCACACTTCGAAAATAGGTACTTAAAAGATAATACACTCACACAACACCACACATTCCCGCCATCCCTCCCCCAAAGAAAACACCGCATTCCTCAAATAAGACTCTGGGTATAAGACTTCAATGTTATTTGTTGTTCTGCTTTGCGCTGAAATGCAGAACATCTACATCCACACAATTGTGTTTAGAATTGTTTGGGGATTGGTATTGTATTTACCTTTTGGAACAACTGCAACAACAACTAAAAATACACAATGACGATTAGCTTCCAGTGAAATTGAGAATGCACTTCAAAGTGTGATAATAGATATTGTCAATTGACTTGATTTATTGACTAATATTTTTTTATCTATTTTTAGCAATGAAAAAATTAAATATTGACTATTCTGTTATACTCAATTGCATTTAAGAATATTTTGTATTGCAAGGACACGTGTCTGAAATTGTCATTTTATCTTAGAAACATTAAAATAAAATATACCAAAACGCATCGCGTTTCGGGTTGTTAGAGAATAAAATACCTATTGGCAGAAAATGTTCAATGTAGGTCTATCTTTTTTCTAACGGATTTTAGGTGATCTGAAGGCCAAACTCTTGGTTGGAATGGTTGATATTTAATATTTTGGCGTTCCTTTTCTTATTTTAAAAATAACGAGGCATCGAGTTTCATAAAGTTTACATCTTGATATGGTTACGTCCAAATTTATTTGAAGACAGGTGAGTGGATTTTGGCATGGAGCAAAACGGGACGACGGTATTATATTTTTAACTTAGCTTATTTGAGTTAAGTGATCTCTCTTACTCCTCAAAAATTCCTCTCCCGCTTTATATGTTGCGCATTTGACATTTCGAAGAAAGTTGATATTTCTTCTAAAAGGTATTCGACAATCGCCAATTATCCACATGAAGACCGTCGTTCTGCTTCTGAACGAGTCTCTGAATTTGATCTAATTCACCATTCCTTCCCTTCCAAAGCTGCTCAAGCTCTATAACTGCGACTCCTTTTTTCCACATTTTTGGCCGTGCATACAGGGTATCCTCCAACAAATTGTAGCCATTTATGATTTTCATTGCTTGGTCAATGAAGGCTATCTGGTATTCTGGTACCATACGTCGAGTTTTCGACGTATCTTATCGTGGTCTTATCGTGGCAACCTTCTCACTGTCCTTCTTGGCCACTATCGAAAAAGCCTGTGGATCAGACCCTGAATGTTCCAGTGAAATCGTATCAATAGGTCCGAGTTTCGTCTTCCCAATAACCACTTCCTACTATCCCTCTTGGCTACTACCGAATTATGCGAGACCGAAGGCTGAGCTTACACATTGGCTACTTCTGCCGGCTTTGTGGCAGATAATTGTGGCTACTACAAAAACTGAAATGAATCCACCGACAAAACCAAATATGGTCGATGCAATACCCATTCACCTCAGGAAATATCTTCATAATCTAGAGAAAGAGTGGACCTCTCTTTCACATATAAAAGTGAAGGTCTAGATCATCATGTCTGAATAACATTCATACAGATGCAGTCACCCAGACAGTAGCACAATACTGTATGAATACTATAGGTTAGGTTTGGGAATGTGCAGTCACTTATTCGGCTGCAACACTCTGAGACCGTCAGGTCCATTGTGATCATACACGAAAAGAAAAAGATATGGAGAGATCTATGAGGGAGAAAAGAAGAGGAGGTAGAGGGAGATGAGAAGCTTATAAGAAAGTATGAGAAGGTAAGTATGAAATAGTATCGATGGCTATAGAGATCGGACAGAAGATATATTGCGTGTCAGAATTGGAGTTTCCCAGCTACTTTAGGTTTCTAATTATGCTGTAGATTAGAGCAGGTTCCGTTGTTGAGAAGAAACTAAGACTCGGTGGAAAATGAGCACTTTCCTGAATTTGGATACAGACAATTTGAAACTACACCTTTTTTCAAATGTTATTCAAAACATTTCAATTGCAATTCGAGAATTTCATTTGTAATTCGAGAACTTAATTTGCAATTCATAACATTTCTCTTGTAATTCGAGTATGTAATTGGTGATTCAAAACATTTCATTTATAATTATAAATTTTTCATATGAAATTCAAAAAATTCCATTTGAAGTTTAAAGAATTTCATTTGTAGTTGGTATTCTATTTGCAATTTGTAGTGTTTCATTAGAAATTCAAAGGAATCCGTTTAAAATTCAATGAAATCAATTCGAAATTCATAACATTTCATTTGTAATTCATCAAATTTCTGTTGTAATTCATAACAATTCATTTCTAATTCTTAACATTTTAAACAAATAAATTGAACAATAAGTGGTGTAGAATTTTTTTTATGTAGTGAAAAATAGTATTAAAAAACAAACTAACACACACACACATATTTATATATATATATATATATATATGGGCAATATTGCCAATTTTTTAATATTCCATTTTCAAAAAATCAGCGTTTTTGTTTTTGTGGCACATCAATTATTTTTGGTACACATATAGAGAAAAATTTTCTGACTCCGAAACCGTTCGCGATCAAATTTTTGGTTGATGCGCGCAAAAGTTATCGAGGTTTTAATTTTGAGTATAAGAAAAAAATCTTAAAATTACGCCGATTATTATATTGACCAAAAACGTTGATATATATCTTCCTCCATAAAATAAGAATATGAATATATTATAATAATCACGATAAAGTTGCACATATTCGCGAAATATGAGAAAAATAACAAAATATAGCAGATTACATCAATATTTTCATTATATTAATGACATACACACACCTAAAAATTAATTTAAAAATATCTACATAATCTAAGCACCATGATGAATCAAATGATATCAAAATCGCACAAGTCCGTGTAGCGGTTTCTAAATCAAAGCGACAACAAAACAAGATATTGAGGAAAAATATTTGTTTTTGGTTCGAAAAAATAATGTCATCATATTTATTTTTTTAAATGTATACAAGAAATTTCAGAAAAAAAATGTTGGTGTTATTTTGCTATTTTACCCGAATTTCGCCGAAAAATTTACATATATAATAATAATCACTTTTTGTGTATAAGTATACGCCTTGCGGATTATATCAAGACCCTTCCGATAAATCTTAGAATTCTATAAATAGGAATAAATCTTAAAATAAAATAATATTTTGAAATATACATTTTAAATTGCGTGTAAATCGCGTAATTCTCAAAATCATTTGATGCGCATGCGGTTTCCGGGAAGTACTGAAGTTTATCTTTCAATCCAAATATATTTTGCGAAATTTCATTTGACGGCTAAGATGTGCCACACGTTACATTGAAGTACCCAAAAAATCGTAAAACGCGAATAATTTCCGAAATCTCCATATGCCATTAACGCGCATCCGATTTCGGTGTGCACCCTAAAAAATACATCGATCTATACCGATTTCAATGTGGTCCATTAAGAACCATGGATGTGCCATCACGATCTATTTTTGAGATAAATTGCGTACATCTCTCTTTCGGCTGAAGTTTTTAAAGTTCTCTTTTCGAAAAAGATCAAAATCCGTATGAGGTCATTTATTGAAGCGGAAATGATCCACAGAAAACTCAAATAAATCCGCGATATTTTCAAAAACATTTTTTGCCAAATTTCGTGTTTTTGGAAGGCCAGTTCCCGCCGTTCTAGTAGATGGATTTTCACGAAGAAGATTTTATATCATCCGAAACGTAAAAAACTTTATTGATCGCGGGTACCCATATCATTCAGTTAACAGATCTAAAAATTTGGCCCGAAAAAAAGGTTTTTTAGAAATTTGATCGCACAAAATTCGCAACTGAAGCTGTGCATACTACATACACAAAATACATATCAAATTACGCAGATTCGCGACTACATTAATCTTATAATCGATTTTTAGAAATTCATGTTTGCGTATTAAAGCTAGAAGTAAAATTAAAAAAAAAAACACTCAAAATCGAGCTTCAAAATGTCAGCATCATTTAAAGGTAGATACAGTTAAAATTTTGAAAAATGATACATAAGCCATTTTATTGGCTTCTAGATTTACTTTGACACGAAGACCGTGCAATGAGTAGCTTAGTCACAAATCGATAGAGAACATAAAAAAACTGGTTCGCCTCAACCTGTTTTTACACATTTTTTTACATTAAAGTAGACACAGCTTCCACCAAAATAAAGTTTGGGGGTCAATATCATGAACAGTTTGCAACGACAGATCAATTAACCCAAAACTATTCACTTTTCTTCATATACTTAAGTAGTTCCCGAGTTATAAGGGGGTGAACCTCCGCTTCAGCTATGTTAAAAAATTGGCAATATTGCCCATATATACAATTTACAATTTTTAAAATTGAATTCATTGAATTTCAAATAAAAATATACCAATTACAAATGAAATTCTTAAAAATTAAGATGGAATTTTTTGAAGTGCATATGAAAAGTTTAAAATTACAAACGCATTGTTGTGAATTGCCGATTAAATACTCGAAGTACAACTGAAATGTTATGAATTGCAAATTGAATTTTCGAATTACAAATGAAATTCTCGAATTGCTATTGAAATGTTTTGAACAATATTTGAAAGAGGTGTAGAGAAACAATTCATTTCATTTAGAAATATGAAAGATAAAATAAGGTGGCGATAGTTAAATAAACCATTTAGATTTTTTCAGCCATACCTATAATACATATTTATAACGGATTAAATTGTTTGTATGAGGATGATTAATGGCACATGTGTGCGTTTACCTGATTAATTGCTTCTTAAAATCACAACTCATTTGGTGAAATTCAATAGGTGTTCCTTGGAATATGCTGAGCACTTTTGTGGTCACGTCACCTTATCATCTGCAAAGAGTGTCACGTACAGATTAAATAGATTATAGCAGCGGATGACGTTAAGGTAGATTTGCAACAAAAACAACAACTAAAGAAGATTGTGACCATAAAGTGTGTGACCTTCTTAGATGAGAATCATCTTTTCATTAACGACTATTGACTCTAAGGAAAACATCATTTATGGTGTAATTTATTAAGGACAGGTTTATTGCACCTTTGGAGTTCCCAAGTGGCATGCAAAACATCATATATGAATGTTTAATACTGTAAATGTTCAATATTTTTAATAAAATTAAACAAATCAAATGCACATTTGGTATTTCAGTCAATCATAAGTTTTTTGCTCGCAATAAGACCTACATTGCAAATATGAATTTCTTGGAAACCCAAATTACAAATAATTACAGGTATTTTTATGAACATTTTCGTTAAATGTACGTGATTTTGTAAACATATCTGTATTTTTGTCAATATATACATATATATATATATATATTTGCATGTGTCATTTGAGATGACTAACATGAAAATTGGATTAAAAAATTATTTTCACTCCACGTAAGAATCTGACGATTTTAGTTATGGGTGTGTGCTGTCATAGTTCCTTAGAACAATACATTTGGTTGTTATCCGGCTGATATTTTCCACTTCAAGCTGAGTGACTGCTCATTTTTCTGAGGGATGAATAAGTGTAAGAAAATAACGCGTACTAAATTAAAACAAGCAGATGTTTGTTATGTGACTCTCACTTGATCCGGGATTAGTAGGAAGGGATTAGATGGATCACCACGACTTCGTAACAATGTGACTGTCTTAAAGTGGTACATAATATTTACATTTACAAATGCCTTCTTAGACATGAGTGTTGACCTCGAAATTTCTAGAAATTTCCAGTAGAGCTAGAATTCTTAAATTTGGAATGATGGTCACTGATGGAGTTTAGGATAATATACCGAAGGGTTTTGAAAATTCAAACTAAAAGTATCCCAAAAGTACTAAAATGTACTAAATTTGGTACAATATCGTTGCATGTGGACGGATATAGAAATTTCGAATGTGAATCAATGTTAAGGTTGTTTTGGAAGTGTGTACACATGTATACGAAAAGTACTACACAGTAATAAATTTGGTACAATTTGGTACGTCAAAAACGTCATATTCCTGTATAAAATGTAACAAAATTAATTTATTTCAATAATATCACCATAAAAAAATATAATATTTTTACATATATCCGTCTATTCCTTACTACACCATTTTCACATGTTATTCAAAACATATCAAATGTAATTCGAGAATTCCATTTGTAATTCACAACATACAATTTGCAATTCGATTCCCAACATATCAGTTGTGATTCGAGAAATTCATTTGTAATTCATAGAATACCTTTCGAAATTCATAGAATTCTATTTGAAATTCATAAACTTTCATTTAAAAATCTAAAGATTGCATTTGAAATTCATAAAATTTCATCCTGAATTTTGGAATCAAGATTGCTGTTGTAGTATAGGATTGAGGTATGGATGTAGGTTTGCAAATTTGTAGAGCTAGATTTTTGTTGCGGTTAGAATTGGAGTGTAGTGATATGGAATTAGTTTTGAAACACGAACAAATTGCAATTATGGTCGATATTGACTTGTGTATGTCGTTTTCAGTGAAAATAAAATAGTATATTTAGTTACGGGCATATTCTAATAAAATTATAAATAAAACATTATGAGCTGTTGTTTGGACGCCAGTTGACATTGCCACCAGCTTCACAGATGTGCTAGGACCTTCAACAGCTTTCTCCTTCTTTGAAGGGACTACCGTGGTGGTCTTCGCACTAGGTCTAGGAATCCTTTCAATCAAGAAGTCCCTCGAAATATCATTCGGATAGTTCCTATAGAATTTTTGAATGAATTTTTTTGAGGGATTGAGGTCGACCATGGCATAGCTCTTACCATGGCAAGTACTCGGCAACTAAGCCCGAATGATCTTGTTGAGGCGCCCAGGTATCAACAAGGCTCAGCACGAAGTCGCATGACACTCCAGCGTTAGGGGGTCACTTTAAGAGGTATTGTCCCAGACCTTTGGGATAGGTAGGCGCTATTCTCGCCTCGTAAGCTCAGACACTCGGTCATTTCCACCGAGACTCCCCCTGAATCAGCTAATTGTTTGCGACTGTTTATTTAGTATTCACAGTTACCCAATGAATAGTATTGGACTTCGCACTATCCGCAACCTGTGGACGCGCCCGTTAGCATTCAGCTCTGCTCCCCAAAGTCGGAAAACTTAATTCAAGTTGGAAGATGGGGTATATCGGTCCACTCCTTCTGGTACCTCCCCCACAAAATGGTAAAAATTGTGCCAAAAATTAATTTTATAACATTCGAACGGGCTATCCGATCATGTTCAAAGATGGGACTACTTGGTCCACTCCTTCTGGTACCTGCCCCACAGTGGGTCAAATTTCAATATTTATAAATCCAATATCAGGTGAATGTATTGTCCGATTTGAAACAAACTTTGTACAACCTATTATCTTTACAGAGCCTAGATCAAGTCCGAAGATGGGAACCATTGGCTCACTTCTGTAGGTCTATTCTGTAACTTTTTAACAACATTCGATATTGTTTATTATACAACAATTTCATTTGTTTGTTTTATTGTTTTTACAATAACAGAAGAAATTTAAACAATATCGAGTGTTGTTAAAAGTTACAGAATAGGCCTACTGGTACCTCTCCCAAAAATGTTCAAAATTTTAATTTTTTAGTGCTATAAACACATTAAGCTTGGATTTTTTGAAAAAAAGAAAAAAAAATAATAATTAGCCATTATTTCCCGAAGTAAGGAGAAGAAAAACATCTGCTGTGATTTATAAAAAAAATTTTTTGTACAATTCTCGTACACAACCAAGCACATAAATAATTTTCTCCAAACCAAAATTCTGAACATATCAACTATTTTTGTCTATACACACAGCTCCAATATGAAGAAAACGATGTTAACAATACACAAACCACATATCCGGAGCCCCGTGTTTCCGGTAAACAGGTGAGTGGGTTTAGGTCTGAGCTGATCAATGGTTTGTGTGTGTGTTAGAGTAACTGAGAACGAAGAAAACAATAAATAAACAAATCAGTGTCACTAGTTACCATAACTGAAAAACATTGGTTTGGGAGGACACTTCATAGGTCGGCTGATGTTATTCTTCTGCCATGGATGGACATCTGCATTTTTCTTAATATTGTTCAAGCATCGTGGAGAGGAATAACGCCACAAGTATATTTTTATTCTGTAGAAAAAATAAAAGCGGCACTGTCCTCAGTATGGCTAGCAAATATTCAGTTAGATTTTATTCAGTTCTTTCCCGAGAGGTTGGCCATATTGCTAACATCTGTCACTTTCGCCCGCTCTGTTGATTGTTTCCATCAGTTGGACTCTCACTCGAACCTCTTCCGTTCAAAACTATGTCTTAATACAGATTCTCCAATGTGGCAAAATATTGTTGATATGTGGTTGTTATTTGCTATTATACCATGCCTGTAACATAATTAAATTTGGCCTTAATATTTTTTTAATGCGAAATTCTTGAAATGTATTTTGTTCTCTCAATAATGCATTCAAATTTGAATAACATTGTTTGTGTGTTGACATACATAAATAATTCAATTGTCTTTTTGTGGTTGGTGTTCTGTTTTTCTTTTTTTGTTTTTCATTAATTGCATTCCACCACCAGCAACAACAACAAAGGTGAAATACGGTAACAAACAACCAAAATAAAAATTAAAAAACGTCAAGTTATCGAAAATTTAGTGCGCATTTAAAAAAATATCAGTTGATTTGTTATAACACCGGCGCGTGCTTATTTCCGAAAGGGGGGCTTGTTCGTTCGTTCGATTGCATTTGGTTGAAGTTGAGTGCATTCCAAGAAGCGCTATCTCGTCTTACATTCATTGGGACTGAGTTGAAGTTATTTGTTTTGACACACACACAGCTGGGTAATGCATTGTAATGTCATTAGTTGGCTTATAGCATTTGTTGTTAATGTTTGTTGTATTTATTAAGGCCCCATAATAGTTTTGAAAATTCCCCCTAAAACGTGGGGATTTTTTTTTCATTTCAATGCAAATTGTGTAATTTTCGTCAATCAGTCATTATTGGTTTATTGATTTTTTTCGTTAATATTCGAATATTGAAAATGTTCTATGTCCTTCAGAACAATTGGCGTACCTGACTGGAGACAAGTACGCAAAGTCCAGTTGTAGTGTGTTATCTTCCCCCCTCATAATTGTTTATCTTTGTAATTATTGCGATGAGAACACAATGATTATTTCAAAATGTTTAGAATTCTCAATACCATATGTGTGCGGTTTGTTTGCTCATGGTGGGTATATTAGATGGGGTCGTTGTAATAAAAACAAAATGTGTTGTAAAAAGGCAAGTGTGATTTAAATTGCCGTCTTGTCGCAAATAAACGTCTTATTCATCAAAATTATCGATAGGAAATCATATTTACAAAGACAAGTAGACACATAACTCCTTTTATCACCAATTCCGGAATGGCCCATTTCCCAGGTTGCAAAGATCTGGATACCATCAACATTCGAGTGTGATGGCATTGTGTGTGATTGGCGGCTGTGTATCGGGATGTTCTTGGCAAGGTGGTTAGCAAAAATAAGATACGCTGGACAGTCAACACTTTCAAACCATATAAATCACCTGGACCAGACGGTATAACAACGGCGATGCTTAAATTTGAGAAGATCTTTACGGCGTGTCCGACTCTCACGTGTGAGCCGGGTCTATTGAACAAGGTTAAGGTTACATACATTCCCAAAGCGGGAAAACCACTGTGCACCAAAGCACCTTATACGCTGTCACGTTGGACCGAGGCTAACGACCTTGGAGTTAATCCAACAAAGCCAGAAATGGTAAAGTTCATTAGGAAACGTAAGTTCGATGCTTATGGGCTGTCAATTTCGATGGAAAAGGAATTCTGAGAAGAGGGCGAAGAGAAAGCAGATTGCACTCTATACATGCAAGAATTTCATTGGGAAAAGTTGGGGGATAAAACCACACGGTGGTGAGGTCCATTCTATCATATTGATCTCATGTCTGGTGGCACTCCATACGCCAAAAATCGACATCCAACAACCCAGACAAGGAACAAAGAGTAGCCTTGCTTCTTATAACTTGAGCCGCGAGGAGCTCTCCCCAGGCTGCTCTGAACGCAATGCTGAACTTAAGGCCTCTGGGTCTCAGCTGTGTCAGGCAGCACGTAGTACCCTAAGGTTGCATGAACAGAATCTTTGGCGAAATAGTGCTTATGGGCATGGATGTATCCTGAAATAGCAAGGTATCACATTGAACCAAGATGGAAGAAGGTACAGGGACTGGCGTCTACTGTTAAAGGCTAGGCCTTGAGCTTCTCTACAAGTTGGATAGTAAGTGTAAAGATTTGGAAGGCAGCAGAATTGATAAAAAGTCTGTGTGAAGAGATCGCTAAACTGGTGAATATCTTCGTGGAGGGTCAAGCGGCTCTTAAAGCTATCAAATCCTATAGCATCAAGTCTGAGGTCGCCATCGAGTGTAGAACAGCTTTGGAAACACTTACTAACAACAATCGGCAGTGCTGGGCACCAGGAAACTGTGACACCATGGGTAATGAAAAAGCAGATGAACTAGATATACGAGGGTTTCAATCCTCAGATGTAGCAATCGCTGGGGCGTTCTTTGACGAAAGAGCCAATGCACCAATGCACAAATTTGGCACATCGAACTTAGGTGCAATGTGTCTGGATCTAACTGGCCAATGTCTGCCAAAAGACAAAACTCACTGTTGAACCTGAGCAAAGTTGAAAGTGTCTAAGCTTTTATTCAACTATGGAACCTGTTTTATCTACATCAGAAATCTGAAGTGGTTGGGATAGCGCAACCTGAGTACGTAATGTGTTTTTGTCCAAATTTCTACAACGCTTATTATCTTGATTAGCTTCTTAGATGGAATTGACAGATTACTCCCGTGTTTGAACGTTATATTGTTTGCTTCAAATCGGAATCTCCTTTCGAATGATATCATAAAATAAATTTTCAGCAAAATTTTTGAACGTTTTATGGTGGATCTACCAGAAAAAGCGGACCTATATTTCCCATCTTCGAACCTTATCTAGGTTTGGAAGAAATACTAAAGTTTTAAAAGTTTTCTATTCGAGAATTATTGTGTACCCTAGTCAGCCAGCTAGATGAGCGAACATTTGTAAATCGAGTCCAAATTGTCTGAAACGGATTTGGTCCCAAGAAACACCAATATTTCGATGTGGCACACTTTTGACGTAACATCATTACATAAGGCTGAGAGTATAAATATTAACTTTCCACAAATTCTTCACGAAATTTCAGTATAGCTGTGGAAACATTTTATCTCTAGATTAATAAATACACAATTGATAGCACACATTACGACCCACATTACTGTACTTACATGCATGCTTACACACATGTGACTAACTAACTGACTGGCTGATCGACTGTGCGGTATGTATGAAAGTTGTAAATTATGTTTGCTTGATTGATAGGAGGATAGATTGTTCTTACTTTTCAACACAACAACAAAAAATAATGTGTGAAAAAAAATAAAAACAACAACAAAAGCACTTTACAAACTTACAAGTAAATAGAGATAAGTATACGGTTAAAATCGGCCGACAGACACTTCGCCAGTCAGCCAGACAGGTTGTTAGACGGACAGACAAGTGCCGAAAGCCGCCACTCAATTACATCACGTAAGCATTCATATGTCATTGTTTGTACATTACATTGGTAGTGCGTGCGGAACACACCATTAAAATCAGTACCCCCTGTCATTACATGACGGACTGTCTGTCGGTCGGTCTACCTACACGCCGCCGCCACCACCACCCCTTTATTTTACTTACGGTAAACATTTTTGGCGTACGTGAAATTTTGAACGGATCTCAACATATTTTTGGATTTTTATTTGATTTTTTGAGTGGAAATCTCAACCGCAGAATCATCGGAAGTTGGGAGCATTATTGAATGACCTTCATATTACAAAAAAAAAAACGAATGTTTGCATTTATGTATGTCGATTTATTGTGAAGAACATATGAACTTCTCATTTAAGGAAGTACTTAAACATAAAACTATGGATATGGTATTTAATTTTGGAGTTGTTTTTGGAGTTGAATTAATAAAATAATATTTAAAGGAAGTGATGATTTTAGATTTGAAGGCAATAAGCATATTTTTGGGCGGAGATGTTTATATGTTTAGATAGTATTCTTTTTTATGAATTCATATAGTGCTACGTGTAAACATGATAATATGTATCACATATTAGGTTATAATGATTAACATTTTCGAGCATATAACAAAGTTAAATCGGTGTTCATATCACAGTTAAATAATTCAGAACTTAGTCTCAGTTTTTGAATACGATATTTTGCAAAACGAATTATTAGAAATCAGATCAATAATTTCGTTGCTTTCCTTCGTATGCAGTCTTAGGGGATTTACAAATGAATTGGAAATTGGCGGAATGGTTATTTAGCCCTCATAAAAATTTCTTTGAGGACCTCACAAAACCACATTATAGGATAAGCATTTAATACGTAACTTCATCTGTAAAGATCAATTTATGCGGTATGAAAAGTACTAAAATTTACTAAATTTAATTTTCAAATTACAAGGCATAATAACTTTATACTGTCTACAACATAAATTATACACTTTTGGAATTATATATTGGACATTCTTCAATATATATTAATGTAAATATTTTTTTCTTTAGGCGTATTCAATGATTATGTCGTTAATTGTCGCTTGATTGATTGTTTACCTGTTCCAACCGGTTCATTTTTTTGTAAATTTTTATGGACATCAGTGTTTATGCCAAATTCAACATATATACCCGGCAAACAAAAGCATTACAATTTTTTCCGTAGGATTATGGGATACATTTAAAAATGTAAGAAGTTCGAAATTGATATACAATTTGAAGATTAAAAAAAACAAAATTCCAGTGTCAGCCTTTGGCTTGCGGCGGACTTCGAATTACACACAGGTTTTATTATTCGTTTTCGCATAATATTGAATTTTTATACAATGAAAAACTTGACCTCCCCCAAGGTTGTGCAAAGTTGGTTCAAATCAGACATTCCATTCGCTTGCTATTGGATTTTAAATATTGAAATATTGAAACCAGAAGGAGTAGACTAATGCCCCGAACTTCGGACTTGATCTAGGCTTGGTAAAGATAATAGGTTGTGCAAAGTTTGCACAAATTTGACCATTTTCTGAAGGATATCATCTCTGTTTACTAATGGGTTTCATCTTCGGACTTTATTTAGGCTAGGTAAATATCATAGGTTCTGCTAATTTTGTTTCAAATCGGATAGTCCATTCGCCTGATATGGGATTTATAAATATTGAAAATGTTGACCCTTTGTGGAGGAGGTACCAAAAGGAGTGGACCAATGGGTCCCATCCTCCTACTTGTTCTAGGCATTGTTGTGCAAAGTTTGGTTCAAATCCGACATTCCATTTGCCTGATATTAGATTTGAAAATATTGCAAATTTTGACCATTTATGGGGGAGGTACCAGAAGGAGTGGACGAATTGGTCACATCTTCGGACTTGCTCTAGTCTTGTTTAATATAATAGGTTGTGCAAAGGTTGGTTCAAATCGGATAGTCCGTTCACCTGATATGCGCATCAGTCGACCAGGCCAACAGGCGTACACACGGACGAACGGACATTTGTAAATCGACTCCAAATTGCCTGAAACGGATTTGACCCAAAGAACTATGGGGTCTAAAACCAATATTTCGATGAGGCACATTTTTGCCGTAGCAAAGTGTATATACCCTCATTAGCCATAAGGGTAAGGGTATAAAAAATGTTTACCCAATGGAGAGGGTGTACCAAAAGAAGTGGACCGATGGTTTCCTTCTTCAGATTTGATCTAGGATTGGTATTACGATGTGGAAAATTTGTATGATTTATAAAGTTGGGTTCCAAGGTGACATTCGCTTGATATAAGCTTTACAGAGTCTTAAAAGTTTTGGGCGATTTTGGAGGGAGGTTATAAAAGGAGTGGACGGATAAGCCACATATTCAAACATTATATATGCAAGGTTAAAGTTGTAGGTTCTGCAAAGTATCATTCGAATCAGATGCTCCGTTCTCATAATATTATAAAATAAATTCTCAGCAAAATTAGCAAATTGTGTGGCGGAGGTACCAGGTATGGTATATTTTCATGCGAAGTTTACAAATAATTGAGTGGACTGATAAGGTCCATTTTCAAACATTATACAGGCTGATTTAAATTTGGAAGAAATATTACTATGTGTAAAGTTTTGGACGAAATCAGTAACTTCCTTCGATATTTACCGTGCGCACAAGCTAGGCGGAGGGACGGACATTTGGAAATCGACTCCAAATTGTCTGAAACGGATTTGGTCCAAGGAAATTTGGGTACTAAGAACAATATTTCGATGAGATGCAGTTTTGTCAATTTAAAGTGTCATTAGCTATAAAGCTGATGATTTTCGTGCCGAACTTATTTTATATTTATATCAAAAGTCTTTTGCAGAAATCATTCATTTATTTATAATTTTTTTTGTAAATATTGCAGTAGGAGAAATTCTCCTATGATTTACCCGAACAGTATGGCAATGATGTGTCGAAAGGATTTGTAGAAATGGTTAAAAAGTGTTTTATGGCTAACATTTGGTTTGCTGGGTAAACATTAAAATGCGTTAACGAAATATGTTTACTTATGTGGACATTTGTAACGAAGGTTTTATGGTATACATATGTACATTGTACTTACCTTTCACTTAAAACATTTTTCGATACTTGTTTTTTAGATCGGCTTTTTAAACCAGATTTTGTACCTTTTTTCTTCTTGTTGTGTATGTCTTATTTTCCTCCATTCACACATCTACACATAATTTTTATTATTATTTATCGCTTATGAAAACGGTAACTGTTTTTTTATTCGCCAACTACGGTTTACAGTTCAGTTTATCAGGCGTTGATGTGGAGAGCCGTTGCCGGATGACGCGCGTTGATGATGACAAAGAGTCATTGTACCCAAACAACATCATAACAATTCGATTCCTCAACAATACCCCGCCTCAAGGCCGTTCGTCTGTCCGATCATCCGTTTATTCGGCATATTCATTCAATATCATCATCATCGCCGTCGTCGCCGCCGACGTCATTTTTAATCGAGTGTCGAGATATGGATCAGTTTTCATTGTTCCTTGTTGTGGGCGAGAAAAAAAAAACTATTCATCAAATGGGAAACAGTTCCCCATTTTTTTGTTGGGTCTCCTTTCTGTTTCCCTCTCGCTCACTTTCTGCCCCTAATCAGTCAGTTTTGATGACATAAGAAAGTACGAGCTGATTATAGTTGTTAGTTGTTGTAGATTTAGCAACAACATTTCGCACATTTTCAGATACATATTACTGTTGTTTAGGGTTGCCAATTTTTTATTTAAAGTAATGTTTTATGTTTGTATAATTAAATTGACATACGAAATAAATAAAATCATAGTAAATTTAAATTTCCATTTTCAACTCCTCGAAACGCATATATTTATGATCGTTTCTCTGTTGAAATCACTATAGAGCTTTCAATAGTTAAAATAACATTTTGTACATATTACTCCTGTTATTGTTATTACTCCTAGAACTTTTTCTATTAAAAATTAGATATCACGGTCCACATTTAGGTATAGCTTTTTATAACCTCCGCCTTATGGCTAATATGGGTAGATATACACTTTGTTACGTCCTATTGTGCCTATTTGAAATGTTGGTAGATTGCCGAAAGCCGTCATTTTGACCGTTTTTCAATTTCAAGTACATATAAAAATGGGTAAATTATGTCACAGCTTTTTAAAATTTGGTGACTTTTAATGTCACATAGAACTACGTTTATTAATCATAGTAGCTGCTTCCTCCCCTCTTTCATTCCCCGTATTCACATGTGCCTAAAATCGGTCATTTTGACCTCTTGTGAAATATTAAATAATCAAACTACTTTTATTATAGTATAAAGTAAATTTGGTATATGGCCAGATCAGTACAACAATATCGTAACCGTTTCCTACTCTAGAAACACAAACGAACACCCAAATCGGGAAAAATAAATTTTATATTTCTAGTCGAGTTCACTATAAGAGTAAACATTTACTCTTTTTCGAACATTTTATCCGCGTTTTTATTTTTCAAAAAAGGGAAACTCGAGAGCCCTCCCACGGAAAATAAATAATAACAACGTTTTGTATGATTGTAAATAATGTAAAAAATATTAAAAAATAAGTTTAAACAAATTTTTTTACACAATAAAAATTCTTTCAGAATGAGTTCATTTTGACAGATTTTAGGCGATTTAGGTGTATACAAAATTCCAGTCTTTCTAGTGTTAAGACTATTTGGAGTCGATTTACAAATGCCCGTCTGTCTGGCCGTTTAGTGCGCACGATAACTCTCGAAGGGATTAACCGATTTCATTCAAACTTTGCACATCGTAATATTTCTTCCAAATTTAAACCTAGTTCAAAGGTGGGAAATATTAGTCCAATCTATCTGGTACCTCTCCCCATAATTGTCAACATTTTGCTGAAAATTAAATTTATATCGTACATACCATTGACCGGCGGGTTAGTTGTGGTATAGTTATCAGCCGATATAGAAGTTAGTAATGAGAGTAAAATTGAAAAACATACAATAGAATTAGTAAAAAGTGCGTTTCTTGATATGTAAGTCACCATGGTCTTCTCCTGGTTTCTCCAAGGAAGTTGTATATAAATTGAAAACGCTTAATAATTAACAACCAGATTTTATACTAAATTAGAGCTTACACAATTGTTGACAGTTACTACTCTTAGGTCATGTTCTACTGTTCCGCCAAAGGAGTTATAGACAAATGCCGGTAATGTTTTGAAGAGTAAAGATTACTGGCAAACGACTTGTTTGTATTTTATAAGTACAATATTAATTTTTTTATACCCTCAGCCTTATGGCTTTTGAGGCATATACACTTTGATACGGTGAAAATGTGCCTCATCGAAATATTGGTTTTAGACTTTGGACCAAATCCGTTTCAGACAATTTAGAGACGATTTACAAATGTCCGTCCGTCTGATGCGTACGATAACTCGAAGGGAGCGACCGATTTCGTCCAAACTTTGCACATCTAATATTTCTCCAAACTTAGAAATCGGTCCACTCCTTCTAGTACCTCACCCACAAAATGTTCAGAATTGTGCTAAAAATTAATTTTATAATATCATGCGAACGGAATATCCGAATTGAACCAAACTTTGTACAACCTATTATAATTACTATATCCAGTCTGATGATGGGATCCATTCGTTTACTCCTTCTAGTTCCTCCCCCACAAATGGTCAAAATCAGGCAATGGAATGCCTAATTTGAACCAAACTTTCAACAACCCATTATCTTTACGAAGTCTAGATCAAGTCCGAAGATGGGATCCATTGGTGCACTCCTTCTGGCACTGGGCAATGGCAAAAAAATATTCATTACTTATAAATCCAATATAAGGCTAATGCATAACCTATTATCTTTACCAACCCTAGATCAAGTACCTAGATGAGACCCATCGGTCTCAGCATTTTGAAAATTTTTGATTCAATATCAATCGAATGGAATGTCTGTTTTCGATCCATATTTTGCACATCTTCATATTTATTTCAAACTCAAATCTAGTTGGAAGATGGAGAAAATCGGCCCACTCTGGTTCTGGTACCTCCCACACCAAATTGTCAAAATTTCACTAATTTTATAATATCTGCGAACGGTCTATTCGATTTGAACAAAACTTGCATAACTTAATATTTTCTTCATGCCTGTATAATGTTGGAAGATGGCACTTATCGGTCTACTGTATATAGTACCTCCCCCACATTGGGTCAAAATTTGGGAAACTTGTTAATCTCTTATGCAGCGAACGGAATATTCAATTTAATGGACGTAGAATGGACATCGATTAAGTTCGAAGGTGGGTCCTTCTGTGATATTCTTTACAAACTGTAAGCATTTTACAAACTTAATTAAAATTGAATTGATTTAATTTAATATTTTACCAAACCCACTTTAAATCCGAAGATGGGGTCTATAGGCAACCCCTTCTGGTACATCTTCACAGATGGTTAACTTTTTGAAAAAAAAAATATACCACTTATAAAAAGATTATTAAACTCCACCAGTTTCAGACAATTTGCAGTCGATTTATTTACAAATGTTAGTCCATTTGTCTTTCTGGCCGGTGTGCCTGATAGCTCTCGAAGATTTCATTAAATTTTACGACATTCTCCTATAGACAGATTCTAACACCGGCTACGGCACATAATCTCCTTTTAAATAGAATTGTTTTGAGTTTTTTAGGAATGGAATTTTATTTTATCAAAAAATTTTCTGCGCTTAATAGAAATGTATTTTCATGAGCATTTTGTATTAATCGATTCCGTAAAACCGGGATATTTTCAAAAAATTATATCTGATAGCTTTTACTAAACTTGAGTTGTTTTCAAATTTTTATTTTTTAATAATAGAAAACTTGTTGGACTTAATTTTTGGAGAATTTTCCAAATCATATGACCGGTATTTAAAGTTTTATTTATTTTTTGTTTTTGCTTTTAATTTTTATTATTTAGATTGTTTTGCAATTCTTCCGTGTTGTGTTGTCGTTGTACAAATAAATGTTGAAGTTCGCCGTCATTTGTCCAAAAATTAGCAGCAACCAACAACAACAACAACAGGCGAGAAAACTATTCTAATGGCAGGGAATACACAAAGCGAAACTTTGAAGGTTAAACTTTTATCGCTCTCAACCTCAAGCACAATAGAAACTGTGAATGTTTGACGCTTTCAGTTGACTTTGAATTCGGGTATTGACCCTTCTTAACAGCGTACTTCGTGTGTGCTCCACGCCATCTGTACGTACGTACATATGTCTGCCTTACCCCCAAAACGCGTACATACATATAGACGACGACTAGTCGTCATAGCATCATAGCAAGTCATTAGCGCATTGCTATTATTGTTTGATGCGATACTTATATTCGGGAATCGGTGATGTTGTTGTTGTTTCTGCTGTTGGAGAAATACCACAACAACAAACACTGGCAAAATATCTTATTTGCTTTTCAAACAAATCATCAGAGTGTTTGTCGCCCCATCTCTCTCCCACTCTAATGCCATCTAACCCTGCCTACCGCCCCACACCCTTCAACTTGGTTTCACCCTCCTCCCGCACCCTTACTTGTCGATGTCTATTTGCTTGTGACTACGTGCCTACGTGAGCGTAAGAGCTTAGCTGCTGGCGAACTGTTCCGACCAGCGAACGTCTGTTTTTTGTACCAACAACAGCATTGGTAAATCCATAATGTTTAATAGAAATGGTTCGCGTCGTAGCAGCTATGAATGAACGTACCGACGAACAGCTGGAATGAATGAACGTTCGTTCGTTCGAACGAAAGCGAAAACCCTAAATAAACAAAAATCCCGAGCACACCAACTATGTCTTCGTGCGGGTGGGGGGAGGTTAGGGGCTGTGGTTGTTTAGTAGGGTTTCTGCAGTGGCTCTTTTTTCTGCCCTACGACGTACAATGTCTACGTTGGCGTCGTCGCTGTCTTCTTTGTCGACTTCGTATATGTACGTACATATGTTTATCGCACAGTCATAACAATAAATTGTGTAAATATTGT